GCAGTTTCTGGAACCTTAATGTTCGAAATTTCTGTGATAACTTATGGGATTATTAGTCTTCGAAAGAACAAAGATAACGCTTAAATCATTACTTAAAGCATAGGATCGCAGTAAGAAGTCACCTCTTTCTATAGAAAACTAATGGAAGACGATTTAAACGTTTCAATCGCTCCTCATGAGGGCGATTGCAGAGGTATGTTATAAACTTGATACCCGTTAATCAGCAACTTCGATTAGATATGGACTACCTAGTCGGGTGCAATACTCTTATTGGAATGTCAGATAGAATTAAAATTCATGAACAACCGTAAACTACGTTTTAGTCTATGAAAAGACTTTAATTATGAAGCGATTTATGGTGAAGAAGTCACAATTATAACTGATAAACAGTTTTAACATGAATAACGAACCTTTATGTATGAGTTGTAAGGTTTTCATCACAAGATAACATCGACCGTATTGTAGGAATAACGCTGAAATCCTATTGGTTCGTCCACGTAATTGACTTGTATCAGTTATCATGTAGGTGAGATATAAAATTTAAAACTCCGTCGAAACATCAAAGGGTCTGAGAAGTGTACAGGCGTTATTAAGTTATCGTTTACAATTAGACCAGGAATTTTTCGATAGTGGACTTGTGGGAGCATTGTCTCCTTGTTAGCTTAATTGTAACTGTTATCGTGACCGATGTGCATTTCTTCACCCTTTCTGGAGTTTTCTAATCCAGATCGCAATTTCAGACAATCTAACTTTACTTAATCAACTTGAGGCTCAAGTTAATTGGGGTTACTGCTTATTATTCTTCGAACTTTTATGTCATTTGCAGATAGGAGTGCCAACCATTAAAATAGTTCGTTGCTCATTGATATAGAGTGGAAATAATAGAGGACTTCGGATCGTACCTTGCTGTATATCACTTTTTTAAAAAGTTTCGGTATGCTTTACGCTTAAAAAAATCCTGTTGTCTTCAGAACATAATCCTGAATGAATAAAACAATTTCGAACTCTCAACTTGACTGCCTACTGTTCAACTTTAACGCGGTTCTTTTTTCTTAAGACTATCTTAATCATTCTTCCTGGTCTGATTGTTATGTATGAAATGCCATGATTTCAGATATAAAATGTCCTCTCCCTTAAGTATGTCAGAGGAACTCAAACGATACACCAGACAAATCCAAAAGGCAAGAACAAACTGTGCTTCCATGTAGTACAGGCTCTCTTATCTTTTAATCCATTAGAAGAATGTCTTTTATCTGTTGACTTGATTTAGTTTCTTTTCAAGAACGTTCGCCAGTCAGGAGGGCCTTATACTTGTTCAGGTGAACGTTTCCTGTCGTTGACTTCTACGTCAATAACAGAAGTTATACGGATGATTATACTGGTTTTCAGTGAGGTGTATGCCTTATATATGTGATTCATTTGATAAATATTTCCGCTAATGACATATATATATACTGAAAACATAGCCAAGGAAATTAATGAAAACAAAGGTATTAAATTCCACTCATCCGTTATTCGTAGCAAGAAATGCAAAATTCCCCACTTCTAGGGTTACGTTGTAAGACGCATTGTCCCTTCAATGGAATGATTTCTGTGTTATTATCAAAAACATATTAAGTATTTATCCTCTTCCCACTATTTTTGTGTTTTATTAATTTGATCTTTCGAGGTTGTTATCATGTGTTACAAATTGAGATGGTTCATTAAGTCTAGTTTGTTGCAAGCTACAAATATTTTAAGTGAGGCTAACTATTTCATCCAATTAGTTAGAAACTGAAGTAAATAACTAATTAGACCCTAAATCAAGTGTTTTAGTTAGGTTAAGAGGCATTAAACATAAGTTCGGACATTTTCTGTGTAAATCAAACACAAATTACAGAAAATTAATGTTGCAAGATTGGAGCCTACATCGGTTGACTTGGAAGAATGCCCTGATATGGCCGAGAGTTGGGAGAGTTAGCTCTACCTATCCAAATGCTCTCACATTACCACGCGTATGCAACCACTACCAGAGAAGTCCTACTCAGTGCTTTCTTGTGGAAGGCGTGTTGTTTGCGAAATTGAGAGGACGAAGGGCGAATATCCGGCGCTTTAATCGGGTTGGTAAACACGGACACTCTACTTAGAGAAATTGGAAAACCCGGATTTCAAACCAATGGTGCACATGGGCTCCAGGAACCTGAAACAACAAATGGAATATGGACCAATTATTGGCGATCGGCTACCATGGGACTTCATCTCCTGACGTTGCCCCATTGCCTTGTGGACCAGACATTTAGGTCGAAGGCTCCGATTGTGGCTCCCTAAGAAAATCACCTGCTTCGGCTTGAGCACCCAAGCAGTGTCACAGCCCACACAAATCAAGTGGCGCATATGTATTCAGTGCCCCTTTCTACCAATATCTGTGTGTTCAAATAAATAAATTTTAATCTGCACACTCAATTCAAGCGAACAATACGTCATTATTCCACCGGTAATGTTACCGGAATATCTTGAGTTGATAGATTTCAAGAAATATCTATTAGACTCTTAGCTGTCGCCTTGAGAAAATCTTTCAAAACCAGAAGAACTAGGAGGGGTTAGTAGCTTTAAAAAGAAGCTTAGAGCATCAATAATATCATGATTTGGCATGATAATTCCACTTACAATTTGCGTAGTTTGTTTATAATTTATATAAGACGTTTTTTCAGCGAGTTGGTTTTCTACGGGATGGAGTCGCTAACCCCATGCCCAACCCTTCTACTTTATCCAGGCTTGGGACTGGCAGTAGCCCCCGGAGGGACTCCAGGCGGAGCTATAGGACGTTTAGTGACTACAATTTTTATTTCATATGGAGTTTAGATTAAGCTTCACAGAAATGAAGTAATATTTGATGTTTACTAGGTTTCGAATGATTTTCAAGATTTAAGTCGTGCTTAAAATTCATAATTTATTGAGATTATTAGTTCATGTCATAAGTAAGTCATGAAAGATCTTCAAACTTATAGCACTACAGAGTGGTAATTAACTGTAATTTTATTGTCTTAACTAATGTATTTACTTTTAGACACTTATCTTAATATACTAATCAAGCTATTTTCAACGAAAATAAAGTAATATTAGTCGACTGGTAACAGCTTCTCACTAGAACTCCAGGAGTGTCTCTTGAAGTCAGTCACTAGTGGGCAGGTGATTATTATCAGAATATTAGTTCGTCGGATTACTACAATCGCTTGTATACGTGGTGAATATTGATACATGAATCCTGTAGTCGTACACACCATGCATGACCTGGATTTGTCTAACTTGTTGAAAATAATGATATGTTCAGAATTAATTATTTTCGTTCTCTCTTTGACCACTCAACATTCAATTCAAGATCGTCAAACAATCAACTAGTTGAAAACAATGAAATATCATCTTGAAATCTTATAACTATCCACAACCCTACATCACCCTCAAAACTATCAAGTCTTGCGAGGAGTATAATACCCTTAAGCTGTTAAGGTAGACCCTTTTGTACATATTTACGACTCAACTATACAAAAAATCTTTACAAAGCCATTTAATGTAATAGTTCATTCATTCTTCAGTTTGTTGATGCCTTCCAACTAGCGTGAAATATCGATCATACAGAGTTTCCTACTCTCAGTTCCTCACTAATATTTCTAAGATTTCATTTCATCTAAACCATAAGATTAATGATGGAACAAGAGTTGGAAATCAACTAACATAAAGTCATAGATGGTCATGAAGAAGAACAATTAGGTCTAGATATGTATTCATAAATAAAAAAATGAATCAATAAACGCTTGCATTTAGTGTACTCTCTGTGTTTGATCATCGTTGTCTCCGAAGGATCGCTGGCATCCAGTGGCAACACCATGTTAGTAATGCAGAGGTTCGGCATCGTGTGTTTGGGCGCAGAGACGACAATCCAATTGGTGTCACCATCTTGAAACATCGACTTCGGTGGCTTGAACATGTTCTATGAATGTCATCCCAGAGAATTCCACGTCATGCATTACTTGCAGACGCTAGAATAGGTTGAAAAAGGAGAGATGGTTAGTGTATGACATGGTGTCGTGGTATGAAAGAAAGCTGCAAAGGGCTGGCTTCTGTTAGTCCTTCACGACTCCCTGGTTGGGTTCCGAGAGATGGTACAACACAGTGGCTAGAGACGTTATCTGATATAGCTCAGAATAGAAGCCAGTGGCAATCCTGTTGTAACCTTCTTTTACTTTCTTCATAAAAAGTGATTGTATCTTCCTTAAATGAAAGAATTCTTCCTAGTTGTACCTTTCCGTTTCCCCCACTATTATTATTATTTCACTACGATACACTAATCGATGGTCGTTATTGTTCTTCTTTTTCTTACACGCACCCTACCTCCCCCCATATATATATATATGGCACCCCCCTTGTACCAATATTTATGTGTTCAAGTAAACAAATAATCAATAAATTGTATTTAGTGTAATATACATAATAAACTAAATAAAAATTTTATAAATTAACAAATGATTGTTTGTTTTCTTAATAAAAAAAAAACAAAAAAAAAACGTAACTGTTAGCAGTTACATTTCCATTGTGTACAATGGAGTGTATATATGAAGAGAGGGTGTCTTATGTTGTTTTTCTTTTCTGTACAAGACGAACAAAAACAAAACAGGATAATGAAATAAAAATAAAATAAATGAAGATAATCATACATATTTAGATTGATGTATAAATGTACCTGGTCCTGTGTTGTAACTGACTGTCTACATGGATACTTTCAAATAACCATATTATTAAATGTCTATATTATAGATATCTTCAATGTTAGAATCATACATCATTCAACCAATCCATGCATAGATGTGCCTAGTTCTATATATTTGTAGTTGACTGACGAACTATCTACATAGATATTCTGAATGTTAAAATTAAATAATGATTCATTTGAATAAGATATTACTTGCTCTATGGGTATGATTGATCTACAACATAGTTGTTCCATCATGAATATTGTAATTGGCTTATGTATATTCATGATTGGTTAATAATGATTCATTTGAAGTCATGAATATATCATTATGATGATGATCTTGATGTTGACGGTGATGATGATGATGATGATGATCATTATCATTCATTTGACTAGAGGTTCCAGATGAAATGGTATCATGTTCATGTATCATTTCAGGAACTTTATAAGGATCTATATTCAAATATTTCATAGATTCTTTATTTTGATTATTATTATTATATTGTAAATAAGATGTATTTGTTAAATAATTATTATTCTGTTGTTGTATTTCAGTAGTATAATCATAATCAATTAAATTTGTTTTTGTATTATAATATTGTAATGTATCGGTAAATTGTGATGTTAAATAATCATTTGTTGAATAAAATCCTAAATAATACGTTGAACAACATGGATAAGATGAATGAATCTCTTGTTGAATAGATTCATTATCTAACCATAAATGGTGTAATGTATTAGTAGTAGTAGTAGTATTGAATTCAGAATCATTTCTTCTATCTGTAGGAGGATATAATGAATCTTTTGTTATATGAAGTGGATCTATTGTAGAGTTAATTGATGATGTTGGTACTCTGTGAAATAAAAGATTAAACATGAAAAAAGATAGTGATATAATTGTTAATATATTTAAACTATCTATTGAAAACTTACGTACTTACTCCTGTTACTCCTCGTGAAGGAGCATTGACTGCCCACCAGCACTTTCCATCCAACACTGTCCTGGATAATCCTTTCCAGTTGTTATTCATCTTTTTCATATCTGGTTCTATTTCCCGACGTAATTTGTTCTTTGGCTTTCCTCTTTTCTTCTTCCTTTTACGATTCCATGTTAAGGATTGCTTTGTGATAAACTTTGATGATTTGCGTAATGTATATCCTATCCACTACCTATATCTTTTCCTAATTTCCTCCTTAACTGGAAGTTGGTTTGCCCTCTCCTATAGTAGGCTGTTGCTGATGGTATACGGCCAATGGATGTTGAGTATTTTGCATAGACAACTATTTATAAATATCAGTATAGGGGTTGTGGAGATTGTTAAGTCTTTTGATTGAGATCATGAATCAATTGATGTTAGACCATCGTTGGAAACCTGGAAGCACTGGACGGCCGTTTTGTCTTAGTATGGGGCTCCCCAGCAGTGCGTATCCACGATCCCGCAACCCGCGAGATTCGAACCCAGGACATATCAGTCTCGCGCCAGGCGCTTAACCAAATAGACCACTGAGCCGGTACCCAATGGTGTTAGTGTCTGACATCAACCAATCCACGAAATCGAGCGACCAACTTCCATTGTACTAAGGTAGATACCTGTCTCTACCCGACACGGATTAGTTCCACTGGTCACGGCGCGAGACCGATAGGTCCTGGGTTCAAATCTCGCGGGGAGCGGGATCGTGGATGCACACTGCTGAGGAGTCCCATACTGGGACGAAACGGCCCTCCAGTGCTTTCAGGTTTCCAACGGTGGTCTAACATCAATTGATTCATGATCTCAATCAGAAAAGTATTTATAAATACTTATACCTTCTTGATGATGGTTGTATTAGTTCACCAAGTCTCAGCTCCGTATAGTAGAACTATCTTGACGTTCATATTGAAGATTCTGACTTTGATATTGGTTAATAGTTATTTTGAGTTCAATATTAAAAACTAAATGCATTTCATTTTAGTTCTAGTAAGATCTATAACAACGTGTTCGCTTAACAAATTTGTATCCTCATACTTATTAGGTTCTGTTATTTTCCATATAAAATTGTCGAAATATCTATGTAAGAGGCGAATCGTTACACTGGATGATTTATGGGTATTAAGTATATAACTCTTATCATGAATGAATGTCAGTTAGAAGAATATTGCAATATTTTATCACTATTATGAACCGATTCAGAATTAGAGAGCCATTAAAAATCTGGAAGCACTAAAGACCGTTTTGTCTTAGTACATAACTCCTCGACAGTGCATGTTTACAACTCTGAAGCCGGGAATCGAACCCATGATCAGTCTGAAGAGCAGAATTTTCACCTCTAGATCACTGATATCATACTCAACAACAATGTTGTTTAAAACTCGTGCTATATCACTGAAGTTTGTTTCATTCTGCATTCCATGACCATCAACTCCCTTATGATTAATTGTATACCTTACTGATGAGTGTCAGTCAGTACAAAATCTAATCAGAAACTGGAATTTCCCTCACCTGAATAACTAATCATTTCATCCCCCAATAAACTTAACACATATCTCATTTTATAACACTAGACCTTTTTTTCAATTCATCAAATACTTGAGAAGTCTAAACAAAACAAAAAAAAGTTATTGAAATGTGACCATTTTGTTCGTCAAATAGTTATTTGTACAAATAAAATAACATCTAATTAATTTAGACAAAGATAGATAGTAGTTAGCAGTGGAATAAAGTTCGACGCGCGTTTTGTCCTATTTGGGACTCATCAACTGGATACACTTACATCCTAGAGTTGAGGTTCACTGTGGGACTCGAATCCAGTACCGTTCGCTTCAAACGCCATCGCATTATCTATTTAACTACTGAGTCCTGATAGCCACTTGTTTGCGCAATTGGGTGTTGTTTTACTTATATCTTCTAATTGTGGATAATGCGATGGCATTTGAAGCGAACGGTACTGAGTTCGAATCTCAGAGTGGACATCGACTCTAAGATGCAGGTACATCTAGCTGATGAGTTTCAAATAGAACGAAACACACGTCAAAATGGATCCCACCACCGTTAGCCACTATCCATCTTTGTTCAAAAGAAAGCTTATGACTTAAGGCTATATCGAGGTAATCCTCACAGGATGTACATATGCCAACATGAGACTGATCAATTGTAGTCCTAAATAACAATGGGAAGATACAAATAAAACAACAACACCACCACCAAATGAATTTGCATAATAGAAAATGATGATTCAACTTACTTATCATATTTATTTGAATATTTCAATGAAAAATTTAGATCTTTTGAATGATCGTTTGAATGAATGTCAGATTCTATAGAAAAAGATAGAAGAATTTATTCAATTACTTGAATAGTTAATTCTATTTAAAATTGAATTCACTAAAGAATACAAATAGTTAAACAAACTGTTAAGTTTGTTTGAGTATTGAGATAACTTTAACTGTAAATGAATTGAAGGTTTTGATACTGTTGATATGTCGTAGATAGATATCGTTAGTTATTGAATAAGAATCGTGGAGTTGACATCGTATAATAAGCCTTGTGCATACAACTACTTTCAGGGAAGTCCTATTCACTGCATTCTCATGGTAGGGGTGTTGTTTACGAAATTGAGAGAATGGAAAGCGAATGTTCGGCGCTTGAACCGGGTTGGTGGATATGGAGAGTCCACCTAGGGGAGTTGGAAAATCCTGATTCAAAACCAATAGTTTATATGGGCTCTAGTATCCTTAAAAAACAAATGGTGTATGAACCTATTGTTGGTCACCGGTTACCATGGGACTGCATCTCCTGACGTTGCTTTACTACCTTGTGGATCAGACCTTTAGGTTGAAGGCTCCGATTGTGGACCCCTAAGAAGATCACCAGTTTTGGTTTGGGCACCCGGGCAGTATCCCAGCCCTCACACAAATCGAATGACTTATGTAGTGCATATCTATTTGGTGCCTCTTTGTACCAATGTTTATGTGTTTAACTAAATGAATATCAATATAAGTTACGTGTACGTCTGTATACATATACAATTATAACCATTCAATCTATATGGGAAAATGTAAATTGGTCTTAGTGTTGAAAGACATCTATAGTTTCCTAAATCTACTTCCGGTCAATCAGTGCTTGTATAAATGTTTTCCTTATTCAATTGTCTATGATTATCACCATTAATTTTAGCACACTTTCTGGAAGCTTTTAGAACTTCAAGTTCAGTTCTAACCCTAGAAATACCTTTTATTTCTTCTTTAATGGTGTGACTATAATGTATGGACAACTTTTGAGCAACACTAGACTGACTTTGAGAGTCTCCACCTAATAACCAGGATCAAATGAGGGTTATAAACTTGTGTGACAAATAAGAATAATGATTCACAGTTGATGATGAAGGTTAGAAATTAGATTTAGAGTTTTCATCACGAACTGAGATCAACTGAAATGGCAAAACTCTATTTAGCTGAATGAATGAATTTCGCGCCAAAACCCGAAAACTGTTATCTAAAAGTAGATTTCATGTGTGTGTATCTGTGCCTGTATTTGAAGTGTTAGACGTAGTTACCTAATACTATAACTCAAATCTCAGCACTACTCACTCATACAACCGTTTATTTACCAAAACTGTGACAACTTTGATCAGTCAGTCAGTAACAACGTAGAACTTCGTACGTACGTACATTAGTTCAGGTTGTCATATCACATTAGCACAAAGATACAATTGTCGATTCAAATCCCATAGTGGTAGAGGTAGTAAAAGTATAAGCAGTAATCGAAAAGATTAAGGTTTGAAGATGTTATTCAAGGAGTATAATACAGTGAAACAAATTTGGAAAGAGAAAGAAGGGACAAGAAGAATTCAGAAGATCAGAATTGGGGAGAACACAAAGAGTGGATGCACCTGTGTCATTACAAACGATTTTGAGCCACGTCATTCAACGTCTCTAACCGTCGGTTGCTATCATCTCGCGGACCCCAACCAGGTAGTCTACACCTACCAACATGACTCAGTCCACTTATCAGTGACTTCATGGATTTGTTCTATGTTTTGGTCTGGCCACCCCTAGCTTTCTTTCAACCTACTCCTACACCACAAAACATCGCATATCGAGGCAGTCGGGGGTCGGGCATAAGTAACACGTGTCCCAGGCATCTGAACTGATGAAGTTTCACTACTTCATCAATTGATTTGCCATCCTTACCTAGTATCCGTTTCCTAACAACTCCCGGGATATACGAACAATGCTTCGAAGACACCTATAATCGAATACTAGTAACCTACGAATGTCCTATACTCTTAACGGCCATGTTTCTCCTACACCATGAATGATGCAAGTTGGCAAAAGCTAGTCGAGCCTTTTGTATCCGTGCTGAAATTTCGTCACACACTAGACCACAAGGGCCGATGAGACTTCCAAGATAAGTGAAGCGGTCGACACACTCAACTACTTCACTCCCTATGATTAGTTCGGGTGTTAATGCAACCCAATCCTGAAGCAACATATTGCATTTCGAGGGGGGGAATCGCATCCCGAACATGCTTGCATTGTTGCTTAGAGTGGTCAGAAGACTCTGCATTTTGTCATCGTCTTCACCAAATAAAACTATGTCATCTGCATATTCTAAGTCAACAAGTGAACCTCCTGGTAGAAGTTCAACCCCTGGAAATTTAGATGAGGAGAGTGTTATCTCTAAAAGTACGTCAGTGACAAAGTTGAACAAGAATGGAGAGAGTGGACAGCCCTGACGAACACCACTTGAGGTAATCAATTCTGATGACAGTTCGCCATAAGCTCTCACTCTACCAGTTGTGTTCGAGTAGAGAGCCTTTATAAGGTTAATGTACTTCTTTGGTACTCCTTTCAATGACAAACACTGCCATAGAACATCGCGATCAATAGAGTCGAATGCCGCCTTAAGGTCGAGAAATACTACCATTGTGGGGCGTCTGAATGTGTGTCTGTGTTCTAGAACCTGACGTAGTGTGAATATCTGATCTATACAACCACGTCCAGGTCGAAAACCGGCCTGGTTTTCTCTAATCTGCTCTTCACGAGCTTTGATTAGGCGTCGAAGTATTATTGAAGCTAATATTTTAGACACTATATTGGTCAAACTGATTCCTCTGTGATTGTCACAAGAGGACTTTTGTCCTTTCTTATAGACTGGCACAATCAGTGATTGAGACCAGTCAGATGGGATTACGTCCAGTTCCCAGATTCTACGTCACACTTCAGTCAATCTGGCTGCTAATAATGGACCACCATCCTTAAAAGTCTCAGAAGTAAACCTGTCAGGGCCTGCTGCTCTCCCACGTTTCAGATTTCCCATAGCTTTTTCAACTTCGTAAAGAGTTGGAGGACTTAAATCAACTTACCACTCAGGTCGACTGAAGATCGTGGGAAACCGAAGTATGACTGAAGGCCAGCTGAACTGATCCCTAAAGGATTTCGTCACACACACATACACACCAAACCACAAAGGCTGATGAGACTTCTTACAGAATAGAACAACATTATAAACTTTAATTACAGGTTATAAAAGCAAAATTTACCATAATTTAAATCCATTAATGAATCTATTGCATAATCAACTTTCATTGACTTATTCATAGATTGTAATTGAGAATATGGATTTATACTAGAAGATTGAATGGTATTCAATTCTGTTGAATTATTCAATGTTAATAGATTACGATAACTTAGATTATTATTATTAAACTGTGAATATGGGAATGTAGTGGATTGATTCAAACTATACAATCGTTCATAATCTGATGTTGTCTTAGTAGTAGTAGTTGTTGTTGTTGTTGTCGTTGTATCGATTTTATTCAAAGGAACAGTTGAATGGCATAATCCATTTGATGTCATGTATTCATGTTGAAGATTTGTATCTAAGGCTTGTTGCATGTAATTACAATTATTATTATCATTATAAATGTCATTGTTATTTGTATGATAGTTATTATTATTATTATGATTAACCGGACACCATAATTCAGGGTTAACATATGAAGAATGTATTTTATGTAAATGGTAATTGTTACCGAGTATAGTAGAATTTGTTACTATTGTAGGTATTGTTGTTGATGTCTTCATGATTGTCGTCGTCGTTGTCGTTGTCATCGTCGTTGTTGTTGTTGTTGTTGTTGTCATTATAGTACGATTCATTTTAGTAGCACGACTACGTCGTTTTACTTGTGTAGCATAATTATCTCTAGCTGACCAACCAGGATATAAACGTTGATGTAATTCTTTTTCTTGTTTAGCTAATTTATAATATTTTGCTTGTGCTTCACTAGATAATGCATGCCATTTTCTACCTAATATTTGATTAATTGCAGCAGATTCTTTTAATGTACATTCAGCTATTACTTGTGAACGCATTTCTTTCATAAATAACATAAATGCATTTAATGGTTTTTTAATATGTCCATTATTATATTTCATTGTACGTTGATATGATTCTGTTTTATTCGTTAATTTCATATTGGTTTCTTCTGTATTCAATATTTGCTTACTACTTTTATTATTATTTAAGTAGTCAAATGATGATTTAATAAATTTATAACTATGATGTGAATGTTGTGGTTGATTAAATAGGGTATTTTGTCGATGATTATTCTGATATTGTTTTAATTCACAATCATTAAAGTGTTCTATATTATTGTTATTACTGATGGGTTTCATATTGATACATTCAATAGTGTTGGGAGAGATTGATGATGATGATGATGATGATTCTAATGGATTGAATATGATTCCATTTTTTGTTCCTACTGTCGATATGGTTGGTGGGATTGTTAATATCGATTCGGAATTTGTAGAATATGATCTATAATTAGGTAAAGAACACTACCAATGTTTTATCTTCTTAGACGGGAGCACTTATTTTGAGATCTAAATGACAAAAGTTACAATTTTTTTAATGATACTAGTCCACACTTACCTTCGAACAAAATTTCGTTTAATGAATGTTGTCATACAATTGGAAATATGGACTGATATTAGTTATACATCTGTTGGAGACAAGGTAGAACTGAAAAGCCGTCTCGTCATCACCCAAAACCCCATCAAGCATTAAACCTAGAACCTTCATGGTATAAGTGATGGGTAATCACCTTATATCCGACATGGTTGAACTCCACTGGTAATGGCTCCTTATGATAACTCTTGAGATTCCCTCTCAAAATCAGTCACTAGTAACCACGTGGTAGTTGGTGTATAGAGAGTTTGTGGCGATTGTTAAAATTTATACTACACATCACAAACTGAAGGAATACTATTCATTCACTCATGGTTTTAAACGTGGAATAATCAAATATATGTGCCTGGTAGATCAAATGGCGTCAACACCAGTCGCCATATTCAATATCTCATGAAGATCCCTCTCAGTAGCGACAAAACCTTCTATAGTTATTTCATTTTTAGTGTAAAGTAGTGCAGATTAGTGAATGTTGTGGCTTTACATCATACTCTAGTGGGATATGTATCACCAGTGAAAATTGAGATTTGCTACACAATATTGCGAATTGGCTGAAGTTAGACTGATTTAACTTCTACTAACGTGAAACTTGGTTAGAAATAAGGGTTTATTGACTATCCCAATGAAAGGATGAAATTGCCGTAACGTTCGTGTTCAACAGTGCCAAGTTTTCTTGAGTGCATTCTGACCTTGGCGACGATAGACCTTGAACAAATCTCTATATTTCTTGAACCAGTATTTGAATGTGGTACCAGCCAACTTATCGAAATGAAATTTATGTATATAATTGATAATGAAATCGGAATACGGGCTACATGTTTCATTAGTTAGTCCTTTGTGACATGGGTTTGTTTGTTGCGTTAGAATTTTCAGGATACTAACTTGGAGCTGTTCATGCCGTTTTTCCTGACGTTCAAGCAAAGACTCTATTTTTTTATGAGTTATTAGCATTGTAATTAGTACACCTCGTCGTCAATGTTACGTCCTCTGCTTGATGACGGCAGAATACGGTATACAACTATCGGCACTTGAACATGTAGAACCCACATAGTCATGAATCAACAAACAGGAGTAGAGGAAGCGACTATTGGGTAGGAGTCAAAAACATACAGAAAAACGGGGTATTGTATCATTATAATCCAGCTAATGTGCAAGCAGGAAAGTTATACAATTGTCCAATCATGCCATGTCACAGTGATATTCTAGTAGGCTTTATCAGGTTCTAACTGGACGGAATTTCTTCGACTTCTTTAGGGCCTCTGGAGACTTTGTCATGCTTTTCGGGGTCGTCCTAACAAATCTTAGTATGAACACCCACAATATTTGAACCCAGAAACATGTAGCTGATCAGTCGCTAATATGAAAAAATGCAAATCCTGGATTCCAACACTAGTTGCAATCCAAATACAATCAATCACTTAACATTTATTCCAGAAATTAATTTTTTTAACGAACAAAATGATGTACGAAAAGTGATCAATAATTTCAATTTCCAATGATATAATTCTCCCTCTGGAATTGTGAATGTGTACCGCTACAGAGCGTCATACTTAAAAGAAACAGTTACTGTTTGATTTTTAGTCTAACTTGGGTTGGAATTAATCCATGACAGGAAACATCTTAACGATGAACAATTTTCACAAAACTCTGATCTCGTGTAAAAGCGTTTTTTTTTCAGAAACTGAATGTGCCTTGAATTCATCCCAAATGACCTGGTACGGCTGAGAGTGAGGAGAGTCCGCTCCCCCTCTCGTAATGCTCTCACATGGCTACGCGTATATAGCCTCTGCCAGGGAAGTCCTACTCACTACCTTACCGTGGCGGGGGTGTTGTTTACGAAATTGAAAGGACAAAAAGCGAATGTCAGGCGCTATAACTGGGTTGGTGGACATGGAGAGTCTACATAGGGGAGTTGGAAATCTCTGATTCAAAACCAATGGTGCACATAGGCTCTAGTATCCTGAAGGAACAAATGGCGTATGAACCAATCATTGGTCACCGGCTGCCTTGGGACTGCATCTCCTGACGTTGCTCCAATGCCTTGTGGATCAGACATTTAGGTCGAAGGCTTCGGTTGTGGACCCCTAAGAAGATCACCTGCTTCGGTCTGGGCACCCGGACAGTATCCCAGCCCTCACACAAATTGAATGATCTATGTGGCGCATATCTATTTGGTGCCTCCTTGTACCAATGTTTATGTGTTTAAATAAATAAATAAAATCATTTCAACATTCCCCCAAAATGTTCTTGATACGGTCGAAGGTGGAAAGAATCAGCTCTCTGTCTCCGAATGCTCTTACATGACCACGCGTATACAACCACTGCTAGAGAAGTCCTGCCTACTGCTTTCTCATGGTAGGGGGTGTTGTTTACGAAATTGAAAGGATGATGGGAGAATGTCCGATGGTTTAACCAGGTTGATGGATATGGAGGATCCTAGTTAGGGGAGTTGGAAATTCACATTAAAATTTTACGAAATATCAGCACCCAAACTAACTTCACTTATAAGTAAAATGTTTGAGTGAATTGAATGTAACCGATTAATTCATAATTAAAGTACTTCATTTTCAACTCTTAAGTTGTATATTCCAAATTCAATTCACCAAATTAGAATTAAGCAGTCAAACAACAGTATCAATAGCTTTCTTTTACACAATTACTTACTTACGCCTGTTACTCCTTGTGAAGGAGCATAGGCCGCTCACCAGCATTCTTCATCCAACCCTGTCCTGAGTAATCCTTTCCAACTCCTTCCAGTTGCGATTCATCCTTTTCATATCTGCTTTTATTTCCCAACGTAATGTGTTCTTTGGCCTTCCTCCTTTCCGCCTTCCTTCATGATTCTTAGTTAGGGCTTGTCTCGTGATGCAGTTTGACGATTTGCGTAGTGTATGTTCGATCCATTTCCATCGTCTTTTCCTAATTTCCTCTTCAGCTGGAAGCTGGTTTGTTCTCTCCCACAAAACGCTGTTGCTGATGGTATCCGACCAATGGATGTTGAGTATCTTGTGTAGACAAATATTTATAAATTCTTGTACCTTCTTGATGGTGGTTGTTGTAGTTCTCCAAGTTTCAGCTTCGTACAGTAGAACTGCCTTGACGTTGGTATTGAAGATTCTCACATTGATATTGGTTGAAAGTTGTTTTGAGTTCCATATCTTCTTCAATTGTAGGAATGCTGTTGTTGCTTTGCCAATCCTCGCCTTTACGTCTGCATCTGAACCTCCTTGTCTATCGACGATGCTTCCCATGTATGTGAAGGATTCTACATCTTCCAGAGTTTCGTCATCAAGAGTGATTGGATTGCTGTTCTCTGTGTTGTATTTGAGGACCTTGGTTTTCCCCTTGTGTATGTTGAGACCTACTGATGCAAAGACTGCTGTTACACTGGCTGTCTTTATATTCTTTTACACAATACTTGTGAATAAACTTTAAGTAAATTAATGTGTATTTAATTACTGAAATTTACATTTCATTTTGAATGTATTACAAATTGTTTAATTGAATAAGTTTGGAGAAAGTCGATTTGATTTGTAAGTTGAATTAGTTACAATTGGTTATTATTGAAAACTATGAATGATTAGATATATATTTATTTAATTGTAGTATGATGGAAGGAGCTAGAAAGGATTGCCCAGGACAGGGTTGGATGGAGAATGCTGGTGAGCGGCCTATGCTCCTTCACGAGGAGTAACAGGCGTAAGTAAGTAAGTATGATCATCCCACAGTAATGAGTATCCAGAAGTTTTCATAGGAAGCCAACTAATATCAATCTGTAAGGAATACAACCTATGTATGAACTAAGACTATTTAACACTATTCTATCTGATAATTATAATGTACTCACTAGTGACTAGCTTTTTCAGGGAATTCTAGTGAGAAGCCTTGACCAGTGGAGTTAATCCATGTCAGATAGAGATAGGTATCTACTTCAGTACAATAGAAGATGATTGTACAATTTTGTGGATTAGTTAAAGTTAGACATTAACACCATTGAACGCTGGTCGACTCAATAATCTACAGATTAAGTATTCGAACACAAGACTGAAAACCCTGGGTTCGAATCCCACAGGTAAGATCATGAATGCACACTATCACTGAGAAGTCCTATAATAGAACAAAATGGCCATCCAAGTTTTCCATCATGATCTAACATCAATCAGTTCATGATCTCAATCATAAATAATAAGATCATTTTTTCTAAAATCAGATCAATAACTTACCCTTTTGATGTTTTCATTGTATTACATAACAATTGTGAATTCCATCTTATATTATTATATTCATCAAAAGGATGTTTTAACCATGCTTGTAATCTATTCAATTGATTATTAGTATTATCATATGTATCCTCATTGAATGTTTCATTAGATTGTTGCCATAGTTTATTATAATATGGTTGAGTATCATATTGATTAGATTGAAATGTATTGGCTAAATGTTTATCATTCATATTGTACTGATTAAATGATGATGATGATGTAATCATTTGATGATTGTGTTGATAAGGCTGAATGTAATCATCTGTGGTATTTATAGGATTATTATTATTACAATTAGATGAAATGGAAGGTGATATTGAATAATAACAACATGATGATGATGACGATGACGACGACGATGATGACGACGATGAGGATAAAGATATCGGACATGATGTACATGGTAAACTTGTTATTGATGATTTCGTTTGTACTCTTGATGATAGTGAAGGAATTAATGTAGAATATATAGAATCTTCATGATTCAATAAAGGAGATTTCATTGTGGAAGTATATGTAAAAGATAATGATGTATTAGGTGAATTGATTTTATTTGAAGGATCAATATTATTGATCTCATCCAGAGTATCATTGTTTATTATATTTTGATGATATTGATGAACTAAAAAGTAAAAATAAAAATTACATAAACAAATGATGATTGTAATTTCCACTTGTGAGATTCGAACCCAGGGCCTTCAATCTCGCGCGAGCGAGCGAGCGATCGCTTAATCACTAGATCACTGAGCTGGCCGGCATCCAACGGTGTTAATGTTTAACTTCAACTATTCCAAGAAATTGAGCGATACCTTTCTGATATTAAATTAATTATTATACGACTAATGAAAAAAAAACCCTGATTTAAAGAGTCAATCACGTTTCGATATAATCGAATGAAAATTGGTCTGTATCATGCATGAAATGATTAAAGTTTTTTAAAAAAGGCAAGGAGACACATTCCTATGGAATATGTAAATCAAGTTCCACTAAGATATGAAACTTATATGTCATGGTAGTGTGCTTCTGCTGAAGTGTAATGTTGAATAAACCAGGTATCTACCTCAGTACAATGGAAGTTGGTCGCGCAATTTCATGGATTGGTTGATGCTAGACACTAACACCATTGTATGCCGGCTCAGTGATCTAGTTGCTCAAGCGCCTGACGCGATACTAATAGGACCTGGGTCCGAATCTCGCGGGTTGCGGGATCGTGGATACGCACTGCTGAGGAGTCCCGTACTAGGACGAAACGGCCGTCCAGTGCTTCCAGGTTTCCAACGGTGGTCTAACATCAATTGATTCATGATCTCAATCAAGAAACAGTTATTCATTGATTAGACTAATCTGTCGGGAAACATTGTTTAGTGACGATGGAATTCATATTACAAAAACTGTTACTGTTATTTCAAACGATATAAGTAGTATTCACCGGTATAATTGTATTGTATGCTACTTACATCTATCAACATAAGTTTAGTCACCTATAATTTTATTTACGAATCAAATGTTTAGAATAGGCAAAAGCTATATAATTAGCAATTGAGAAAAAAACGGTAAGACTATAATTTATAAACGACCTTTGGGCAACACCTAATAAGTAAGATCAAATGAGGGTTAGAAATCAGTGTGTGAGGAATTAGAATGATGATTTGCACTGGATGATTAAGGTTACGAATTCCATGTATAGGTTTCATCACGAACTCTATTTAACTAAATGGATGAATGAATTTTGCGCCAAAATTCAAGACCTACTAACGTAAATCTGATTGATTCGTTCATAAATTATAGTTTCGTCGAAGAAAAACTATCGTCATAGATATACATATGTACTGTAATCAACACCAACTTTTGATAACATATAACTTGTTGGGACCCGAGAAACATAATGAATGGTAACCATTATTATACGTTTTACCATTCTTGAGTTATACCCAGTATATGGATTACTACCTCCCTCATTCACAGCCACATCTGGCTAATTCTTGTACAAATGTTGGTCGGTTTGATTGGTATATAAACTCAATATGCTTGAAATATATAATGATTCATATCTCAGAGGCTGAGACTTGCGTTCTGGATGTAACTAACTGGGCTAGGTGGAAAGCAGGACCAATCAAGACTATAGGTTGTTCTCACGTGTTTTACGCGTCACTGATCCGATCGATAATTCGCTGCTAACTAATCAGCGCACAAGTTATAACATAACTAAATACGCATAGATTAGGCAATAGGACATAAATGAGTTCAAATAAAAACTTTTAAATTATTTACTTCATTATTTAATGTATCCACAAATCAATTTGGTTGTTATTCATAGAACAGTTCAAGATCTTCTAAAGTGTATATCTTAGACTTCTTTAAACTCTACAACTGTTGATATAATGATTGTTTCCATTCAATTTGTTAATCAATCTTTACTCCATCTCCTTTACTCTTTACGTTCATTATGAATGTTTCGTGACACTGATGTATTATATTATGATGTAATACTGAACTGTAACCATTATTTATAGATCTTTAAAGAGTCATATATCACTATACTGAATACTACTTATATCACTATTAGTAATCAGTAATGGCTAGTAGTGGAATCCAGGACATGCGTTTCGTCCTATTTGAGACTCATCAACCAAACATATCTGCATCTCAAAGTTGATGTTCACTCTGAGATTTGAACCTAGTACCGTTCGTTTCAAACATTATAATGATCTCCACTTAGCTACTGAGTTCTGATAATCATCTGCTTTTGTAATGGGACCGTGGATGCGCACTGCTGAGGAGTCCCACAATAGGACGAAACGGCCGTCCAGTGCTTTCAGGTTTCCAAAGGTGGTTCATGATCTCAATCAAAAAGTTTAAATTCACTTAGTTTTGTTTAACAATATTATCCTTGTAGAGACTGGACCCACTTTCTTTTTTAGTTTATTCAGTTAAAAATTCCTGAGGTTTATATTTTTAGCTTAAATAAATTTCTTATAGACAGAGAACTGTTACCAGAGATTATCAATATTATTAGTATTGGGAGTTTGTGAAGATTACATGCTTTTTAAGCAAAGATGGATAGTGGCTAGTGGTGGAATCCAGTTTGACGCGCGTTTCGTCCTATTTGGGACTCGTTAGCTGAACTTGCCTGTATATTAGAGTTGATTTTCACTCTGGAACTCAAACCTACTACCGTTCGCTTTAAATATCATCGTGTTATCCATTTAGTTTTGTGAAGATGAATCGAATTTTTATAAATTAATTCCTTGAGTTCTAGTGAGAAGTCATGATCAGTGAAATTCATTAGTTTTTAGTGTAAACCAGCTACTTTCATCTAGATTCAAAGTGATTATGTAGTATCATGAGTTAGTCTATTTACGAATGTAAAAGATTGAATGGTGATTCAGTACTGTGAAAGTTAAATGCTCACCATGAGTTAAATTCTATCTCAAGTGGGGCAATGGATACATATCGATGAGAATGAAACAGCTATCCAATGCTTTCTCATTTCCATTGGTTGTCTAACTAGAACCAGTCCATAATTTTAACAATAAGAATTTAAAGTTTGATCTTGATTATACACTTGAGATTAAGTTGAAATATTAACCTTATTCTTTTCGATATTTTGTATAAAATAGTAAAACGGCGTATACTAAGGTTTATTCAAGCCTTAGCCATACGAAAATTCAAACCCCCTTTGTGTATTCAAAAACAGTTTGTTCGTATTTTAAACCTACCCTGGTAATATTGACTTATTATCCAGAGGGATTAGGTTTGGCTTTGTGTTCACATTATTATTACTCTTATTATTGACAATACTCCTCATACTCTTATTTAGATAAAGTGTGTTTTAATAATATCTTGGTTCTATAATGAAAGAATTATGAAGGGAATGATTCCAAAAATTAAGAAAGAACCCAATGTTTTTAACGCCATTGATGGTTATCATCATAAACGTTGATTATCTGAGATGATGAAGAAGATTTGTAGCTCAGTTGCATGATTCTAATGAGGTTTTGTTCTCGGAGATGGATGGTTTGATCGGGGAGCTTTCATTGTTTTTCCGAACAACATCATCAGCACAAAATTCTACCTCAAGTTGATTATCTACTTACTTAGACATATAACTCTGAATAACAAATGAAAATAACACTTAGAATCACTGAAAGTCTACGGTCTATAATTTTTCATGGTTTAGTTGGAAATGAATTACCTTTAACAAATATAGGAAACCTCAACAATGCACATCCACAATCCCGCATCGATCAAGTTTGAATCCAGGACCTATCGGTTTCGCACGTGAACGCTTAACTACTAGACCACTGAGCCGGTATCCGATAGTGTTAGTGTCAACTTCAACTAATCCACGAAATTAGGCGAAGCATCAACCATTTTCTTCAGTGAGTTACTATCTCACAACAGACCTGGTTGAACTCCACACAAGTCCGGATCATGGATGCACACTGTTAAGGAGTTCCACAATAGGACAAAATGGCCATCCAGTGCTTCCAGGTGGTCCAGCTTCAATTGAATCATGATCTTAATTATTGAAATTACTACGATATCCATAAAACACTTCTAATACAAATATAGGAAAGTTTAGAATTGTACTATAACCAATTTCATAGACATAATGAGTCAAACTTAATTTAATTCATTTCATTAGATTATGAAGACTAGATTCTATGTAAAGAGATAAAAGACAGATTGACAGGTATTGGAAAATTATTGAAAATCAAAGAACAATGAACAGATTTCCTATCCTAATACAAGATTCTTCAATCATCCCCAATCATAACCTCATCTAGAGCTAAGTCAAAGTTATTTAGGTGTTACAGTGATCACATTTTTCCATTACCTTTCGACTATTAAGTTTCAAATCCAATTGTCTAAAGTTCTATTTTTAGTCAATTTGTTGTACAACACTACCGATAGTCAATACGATCGCTAGTGACTATTTTCCATTTCCCAGATGACATCGTTTTGTAAACTATTTGTGAATTAAAATTAGTATTGCAAAAATAGACAAAAATATATTAAATAGATGAAGTATGAAAGTAATCAATTCAGATCTCTAAAGTAGAAATAAGTAAACACCTTTTATAATCAATGGATTACATTAAAGCCGATATTATAACATCAAGTAGACTGAATACAGAATGCTTTAATTACCATATAACTTGTATTATTTATAAAATTGCCCCCAAATGCCCTGGTATGGCCGAGAGTGGGGAGAGTCCGCTCTCCATCTCCAAATGCCAACATATGGCCATGCGTATATAGTCTCTGTCGGGGAAGTCCTACTCACTACCTTCTCATGCCGGTGGTGTTGTTTACGAAAATGAGAGGACGAAAAGCGGATGTCCAGCGCTTTAACCGGATTCCAAATCAATGGTGCACATGGGCTCCAATATCCTGAAGGAACAAATGGCGTATGAACCAATTGTTGGTCACCGGCTACCATGGGACTGCATCTCCTTACGATGCTCCACTGCCTTGTAGATCAGACCTTCAGGTCGAAGGCTCGGGTTATGGCCTCCTAAGAAGACCACCTGTTTTGGTCTGGGCACCCGGGAAGTATCACAGCCCTCACATATATCGAATGAGATTTGTGTGGCGCATATGTATTTGATGCCTCTTTTTTTATTTATAAAATTAAGATTGTTGTATTACATTGTCAATCAGATCAATGTAACTGTGATACAGTGGTGAGACTTTAATTTATGAATGACCTTTGAGTGACGTTAAAGAGACCTTGAGAATGTCCACCTACATGCTATGGTTAAATGAGGGCTAGGAACCAGTGTGAGGAATTAGATTTAAGGTTTTCATCACGAACTGACATCAGTTATAATGCCAAGTGAATGAATTTCACGCCAAAATTCAAGACCTGTTATCTTAAATCTGATTGATTCGTCCATAAATTATAGTTTCACCGTTTGTGTCCATGATGTGAGATTTCAATTTCAATTTACTGAAGTTCATATTATGAAAATGTTTCTTTAGAAATTTCATTTAACTCTAAAAGGAGACTTTTATCAGACTGTTACATTTATTGTATGTTAATGATGAATCTAATTTACTTATTGTTGAATACTTTACGAATCGACATGAATTGTTGTTCACATTACAAATGGAGCTAATCCATGTCAGGTAGAGACAGGTATCTACTTCAGTACAATGGAAGATGGTCGCGTAATTTCGTGGATTGGTTAAAGTTAGACATTAACAACTTTGGATGCCGGCCGGCTCAGTTCGCGCGCGAGACCGAAGGTCTTGCGTTGATATCATTCGTATCACTTTCTCCTAACGTCATATCCATAAAATTTAGACAACAAGTATTCACAAAAAGATTTTGAGTACTATATGAAATTATCTATAACGTTATATAAGATCCGAATAGTCAATGATCTACATTCGATTGGATGAATCTCTAGATTAATAATTATGTGATGTCAAGATGGAGAAAATGATTGTAATGAGTGAAAATTTTCTAAATTAGATTATTTTTTAGTCTATTTGAAGTATGTTTAACAGCAGAATCCAGGAGTCACCTTACAGTTACTTTTAGGACCCATCGACTGGAAATAGCTGTATCCCGATATTGATGTTTACACTGGAATTCTAACCTAGTACTATACACTTTAAAGATCAACACATTATCCATTAGGTTATTAAGTGCGACTACTTACTGACTTGTGTAACTAGTATGAATTTTATTTATAATAGTCAGTATTTTACTTTCTTTGATATTAGAGATTGAAATTAGTCAGTCTCTGCTGGCATATGGCGATCCCAAATGGATGATCTTAACATGTCCATATTGTAACAGGCTTTAAAAATACACAAATTTCACCTAGTAGTGGAATTCAGGACACATATGTATTGCTACTTGAGATTCGTCAGCTGGATGCACCTAAACTGTAGTATTATTGATGTTTATAGTAAGATTCGAAGTTTATAACTATCTTCCCAATCTTCAACTCATTATCCACTAAGCTACATTATAAGCAATCATATATTTAAGAAGTACGAAGTTGTTTTTACAGCTTTGTATTTCCTCATTATTGATATTTGTAAGGATTAGTTCAAATTAAATCTAGTCTTGGTCAAACGTTAATATCAAATGGGAAACTATTGAAAACCAAGATGCAGTTAACGTTAGTTGATATTGTGCCATATAACAGAATGCCTAAAGTTAGTACTTATATCAATTCTAACAATCAGGTGATTGTGATAAAAACTGTAGGTTCTCAGTTCCATTCATGCTAAGAGTAGACTATGAATTACTAAAAAATAATTTCCTAAGATTAGAATAAAACAGCTATACAATACTGTCTTATTTCCAATAATTGTCTATGATATGGATTACGAATTCAGAAATGTAATCACTATTAGACTGAAGCTCCTAGATTCGACTCTTGCAAGTTGGATTTTGGATACGTACGCCTCAGGAGTCCCATACCAGGACAAAATGCCCTTCCAATGCTTCTAGGTTTTCAATAGTGGTCTAACATCAATCGATTCATGATCTCAATAAAAAACCTCTGCAACCTTATACTTTAAAAAAATTGTTTGACAATAACCATAAGGTGTGATAAATCCAACAGACATTTCCATCAATGAAAGATTACACTGTACAGTTATTATGAATATAAACTAGTTTCTCTGGATGATAATGAAACGTCGGTTACTATTTAGTAAAAGAAAATAAAGTTTTCTTCTTTAAATACTGGACATCAATTAATATAATCTTTACTAGACTCTAATATTAATTGAATTTTTATTGACTAAGTCACTAGTCTAAGTAATTGGACATCATAGTGTAACTTTTTGGACGTAAGTGCTATGTAATCCTTAACCGGGAGAGGAAGCAATTTCGTTTCTAGATTGCATCTATCATGCAATTATATCTATGATTTTAACAGAACTCAATGTATACCATGTGAGTTTCACTTACATATAGTCGTCATCAATTGAATTACCACATTTTTATTAAAAAATAAAGAAACAATATTTAAAAACAAAAGAAAAGAAAAAAAATCAAACTTACCTTCTTCAGTTCTAGTTGTATTCATCATCATCATATAAAACACAATGAATATTTCACAGGAATAAATCAAGAAATGAAATAAATTTCCTCAATATTGTTAGCTTATACAAAATAAATGAATACAAGAAGTAAAGTTGATTATTTTGGTTTGTTTTGTATTTTTAATCACCCCCTCACCCCCCCCAAATAAAAAATCCCCCGCAAACTATCAATCTATAACAAATCTGTATGTATAAATTAACGAAATAATTTAACCAATCAAATCTCTTAAAAATCAACATTCACTATTGAAGAGCGTCATTTAATTCTGATTGGTTGAAAGATAGAAAAATAAGAAATAATATAGACAAAGCAACAAAAACAACAACAACAACAACAGGAGCAGCAGCAGCAGCAGTAAAAAGGAGAGAAGGGAAGAAGTCAATTGAATTAATAATAAATGTTACTATCCTACCTTTCAGATAAAAATAACTAATATATATGTATATGATGTGATGTTGTTTATGAAAGAAAAGACAATTTAGATGTAATTGTCCCCCATTCTTATTTAAGTTCAGAGTTAATGTTCTTGTTTCGTCAGTAGACTTAGATTTCAAGGAAAGGAATGTTTGTGATGATAATGATGATGATGATGATGACTACATCTAAAATGAATGAAAGTAATATAGAAAGAATGAAAGAAAGAAAGAGTAATTTTAGACTCACAAACATATACGCACACACACACACACACATCCATGTTCACACTTCTATATGGTCTGAATAATTAAGTTGTTTCTAGCTTACCTAGAACTTTCTTACAAATCAATATTAATGGTAAGAGAGCTAAATAGAACATTTCAATCATCCTTATATTCTATTTATATCAGAATGGGTTTTGTGGAGATTTTTAGAAATTTTCACAAATTGAAATCATGAGCCAATTGAAGCTAGACCACCATGGCAAAACCTGGAAGCACTGGACGGCCGTTTCGTCCTAGCATGGGACCCTTCAGCAGTGCGCATCCACGATCCCGCACCCAGCGGGATTCGAACCCAGGACCCACTGGTTCCGCGCGCGATCACTTAACCATTAGACCACTGAGCCGGCATTAAACAGTGTTAATGTCTAACTTCGAATCCCGCTGGGTGCGGGATCGTGGATGCGCACTGCTGAGGAGTCTCATAGTAGGACGAAACGGCCGTCCAGTGCTTCCAGGTTTTCCATGCTGGTCTAGCTTCAATTGGCTCATGATTTCAACTTGTGAAATTCTATTTATATTTTAGTTAGATGAGTTTTTTTATTTTCAATATTTTAATCATGAACATAACTAGATCTTTCAGTAAGCATGATACTTTAGATTAAAGAGTCGGTTCATATGGTCCACTTTCATAAAATGACACTGATAAGATTTGTCTCATTCTGGAATTGATTAACTTCCAGGAAATCCATCTCTACTAGTTAGTCAACTGATGTGATCAGAATTATCATTAATGAGTTATATTAGTAATGTGAAGATAAGAAAATTTTGAGTTTAGTTATGAGTAGGGTAGTATCGTTAGTTCTTCTCAGTTATGTATCACTGTTGTAAAAATCTGTAAACTTTTAAATCTTTTTCCATTTAGGCTTAAAAAAAATTATGATCAGAATAGGGTTTTCTGTGGAGATTGTAGTCATTTTAATAGTTGAATTTATGAGTTGATCTAAGTTAAACCATGGTGAGAAACCTGAAATCGATGGACGGCCGTTTCTTCTTAGTGTGGGACTCCTCCTCCACGACCTCTTGAGCGAGACTCGAACCCAGGACCTTCGGTACCGTGCTCGAACGTTTAACCTCTAAGCCACTGAGCCAGCATCCAATGCTTCCAGGTTTTTCATGGTGGTCTAGCTTACATCGACACTTGAGTTCAACCATTGAAAAAAATCTTTAATCAGTAGCATAACTTCTGACTCTAAGTTATCATTTTATTGAAGTGATGTAGTTATTTTGGAGAGAATTCTATTCAAACCTTCTTCATTATCGTCCTCGTAAAATAGGATGATATCAACCATAAATTCTCTGAGACTGATTAAAATTTTATAATTACTGGAATAAACATGTTAACTTTCTCGAGATAAGAGGTTACTTATGCAGAGTTATATCGCCTAACTACTGATTTTACAGAGTACAAATAGTCTCCATTGGGAAACACGAGTCCTGAACTAATTGCTATGAAATTATTATTTTTGTAATAAATTCTTAACAATATTCCCTTGTGACTGACAACAAAAATCATGACAATCGTAAAATATGAGGGATTACACAGAATTTCATACCTATCGAACAAGTTATTGGATTTTTGAACATAATAGCTTAGTGATAAACGAATTAACATTGAAAAAATGTAAATGTTGAGTTTGAATTTCACTATAAACACCAAATGAGGAATACTGATATATTTAGGTGGTGAATACCAATTAGAGTTAAACACACAGGCATATACATTCCACTACTAGCTATAATTCAGTGTTAATAAGTATGCACACGAATATAATAAAAGTCCCACTAATAAAGATGATTTTATAGTTGAATTCATTAGTCGACTAAAGCTAGACCATCATTGAAGACTTGGAAGCATTGGATGGCCATTTTGTCTTTGTATTGGACTTCTAAAGAGTGTGCATCTATGATCCCGGACTAAGGGGACTCGAACCCAGGATGCCGGCTCAGTGATCTAGAAGTTAGGCGTTCATGTGCGAAACTGACCGTCTTTGGTGCGAGATCGTTCATGCACATTCCTCAGGAATCGCATATTAGGACAAGACAGCCTTTCAATGCCTTCAAATTTTTCAATGGTAGTCTAGCTTAAATTAATTCATGAATTCAACTGTCAAAATACTACAATCTCCACAACCCCCCCCCCATTCTGATAATTCATTCGTCATCTTGAATTATGTCTGTGTTATCATTATGGGTTTATGAAGGTTTTTGAAATTTATCGAGAATACTAATTGATTTAAGCTAGATAATCATTGAAAACCTGAAAGCACTTGATAGCTATTTCGTCCTAGTATAGGGCTCCTCACCGGGAATCAGAATCTGAACTTTCTTTCTCGCAAGCGAGCTTTCAACCAGTATTCAATGGTATACAATCCTAACTTCAATTCATCCGTGAAATGAAGTGACTATCTTTCATTGTCTTCAATGGGTAACTTCCTCGCATCTGATACAGTTGGATGCCACTAGTAATGGCTTCTTACTAGAGCTTCAAAGATTTCCTCTCTAAGTTAGTCACCAGTTAGTACATAAGAATTATCAGTTTAGGTTTGCATAGATTATTAACTGACGTGAAATTCACATCCATAATGTTCAATGAAGTCGATTTTTTCAATTGATTGATTGTTTTGGGTTTTTATCATCTGTGTCATTCTAGTGCTCCATATACAATCACTTTGTATTTTAAGAACGAAATAAAGTGCTCATGAGTTAAGTTTGATGAACAGAGAGAGTGATTTAGTTTAGTGAAACTTGTTGCGAGGTCAATATTGAATGTTCAGATAAATTGTCACAAAATAAAAGACATCGATAAGCATTTCATGATTGAATAACGTTGAGGGACCGAGGTCAAATTAATTCAAGGTGATAAATGAGTTCAATCAACTATTTAATCACGTACATAACTAATAGTTCGTGTATTTATCGGGTAGTCAGTCATTCAGCAACAATGTAGAACTTTGTACGTACGTACGTACGTACATCAGTTCAGGTTGCCATATCACATTAGCACAAAGATACAATAGTCGATTCGAATCCCACAGTGGTAGAGGTAGTAAAAGTATAGGCAGTAATCGAAAAGATTACGGTTTGAAGATGTTATTCAGGGAGTATAATACAGTGAAACAGATTTCGGAAGAGAAAGAAGGGACAAGAAGAATTCAGAAGATTAGGATTCGGACGAACACAAAGAGTGGATGCACCTGTGTCATTACAAACGATTTTGAGCCATGTCATTCAACGTCTCTAACCGTCGGTTGCTATCATCTCGCGGACCCCAACCAGGTAGTCTACACCTACCAATATGGCTCAGTCCACTTATCAGTGACTTCATGGATTTGTTCTATGTTTTGGTCTGGCCACCCCTAGCTTTCTTCCAACCTACTCCTACATCACAAAACATCGCACATCGAGGCAGTCGGTGGTTGGGCATACTTGTACCACCTGTCCCAGCCATCTCAACTGATGAAGTTTCACTACTTCATCAATTGATTTGCCATCCTTGCCTAGTACTCGTTTCCTAACAATGCATTACTTACTCGGTGATCCCAAGATATACGAGCAATGCTTCGAAGACATCTATGATCGAATACTGATAATATACTCAATCGTTTAACCGGTTATTTTGTATTCTAATCAATAGTTTTTCAATTATTTCATCCATTTTATTAATTTTATGAAAGAAATTGGGTTTTTATAAATTGCAGTTCATCGCTCTTTAAAGATGAACAACGAAAACAGTAATCCAGAGTCTCTAACATGATTATCGAAATGATTGAACTATAACGATTTAATTTTTGGGACGGAAGTTTGAGTTGTTAATTAACTCCTGTTTCAACATGAACAGTATTCAGTAGTATGGGTCTGCATTTATTCATTTTCGCAATTCTAATTAACCAAAAAAGATATTCCTGGCAAGACTTTATTTTAGCAAGTTTCTCTTCTAAGAAATAGGATTGCTAACCCTATCTCCAAATGTCCTCCTTTATCCGTGTTTGAGACTGACAGTAACTCCAGAACGGCTTCAGGTGGAGTTATAATTATATGTTTACACATGATAGTCCAGATTCTCCTAACAAACACCATCAAAAATAACCTACCATAATAGACAACAGAACAGATGTTAGGTAAGCAGCAAACTAAGAAGAGACTCTGTAGATCTATAGATTGCACTATTCATGAGCCATTAGACTACATCAAAAATCAAACCCTAACTTGGAATCCTCATGGTGAAACGAAAATGGGCGGACCAAAGAATATATGGTTCTGTAAATTGGAGGTAGATATCACAACCGTGAAT